GATGCAGGCTTGAGGATAATAAACTGCCCTTTGCATTCATCAGTCTCCTCCTCCTGGGCCCCACCAGGAGATCCTATTCTCAGATGCTGTAGCACAGTTCATTGACATATGAACTATATGTCGGGCTATATGTGACAAACTTGGAGAAGGCATGATACTGAATGACAGCCAGCATGGCTTCATCGTGGATAGGTCTTGTCTGACCAACCTCATTTCTTTGTGTGACCAGGTAACTCAGGCTCAACTGTGGGACCATCAAGTGGTTGCGAAACTGGTTGCGGGGTAGGGAACAGAGAGTCCAGATGAATGGATCAGTGTCATCCTGGTGAGACAGCGTACCCCAGGGGTCAGTACTTGGCCTAGTGCTGTTCAACATCTTTGTCAGCGACCTGGATGTGGGGGTGAAAAGCCCATTGGCCAAGTTTGCAGACAACACCAAGATATGGGGTTCTGCGGACACACCCTCAGATAGGCTGCAGATACAAGCAGACCTAGACAGGCTGGCATGTTGAGCAGAACAGAACCAGATGAGGTTCAACGTAGAGAAATGCCAAGTGCTGCATCTGGGAAGGAAGTATCCCCAGCACACCTACGGGCTGGGCATCGCTAACCTGACCTGCACTACAAATTAAAGGGATCTGGGGGTAACAATAGACCCCAGCATGAATATGAGCCAGCAATGTAACACAGTAGCTGCTAGGGCCAATAAAACTCTGGCATGCATCAATCGATGCATCTCCAGTAAATCCAAAGAAGTGATTCTCCCACTTTACTCAACATTGGTGCAGCCGCAGCTGGAGTACTGCATCCAGTTCTGGGCACCGCACGTCAACAAGGATGTGCTAAAGCTTGAGAGGGTCCAGAGAAGGCCCACCCACATGATCAGGGACTTGCATGGCAAGCCATACGAGGAGAAGCTGAGGGATCTCGGACTCTTCAGCTTAAAGAAAAGAAGGCTGAGAGGGGACCTGATTGCAGCTTACTGCTATATCAGAGGCATACATCAGGGACTCAGTGAACAACTAGAAACAATGGCCACAAACTCCTGGAAGATAGTTTCAGGCTGAACATTAGGAAAAACTTCTCTATAACTAGGGTATCCAGACTATGGAACAAGCTCTGGCCAGAGGTGGTGCAATCATCTACCCTAGAGGTCTTCAAGAGAAGACTGGATGGTCACCTGGCTGGGGGCGTCTGACCCCAGATGTTTTTCCTGCTTATGCAGAAAGCTGGACTCAATGATCCTTCGGGGTCTCTTCCAGCCCTATGAGTCTATGATTCTATCCCATCTTGGACATCAGAAAGCTGAACTTATGCAGTCAAAAGCTCAAGTGATCCTGGCAACTGTTATATCATCATTTCATTAGAGGAACTAGCTCACATCTCTTAACCTAGAACTCAGGCCATGTCTGTCACTTGCCTTTGTCATGTCTCCATAGGTGCTACTTGCAAGATGGCCACTTGGAGCTCTATTAATACATTTACCAAATTTCATATCGTCATGGAAGCCTCTCAGACTGATGTTGCATTTGGCATGTTATTTGTATAGGAGACTTCAAGACCCACTGCTTGGGTGTGTGAGCACTGAATTGGAATCACTTACTAGTCAGGAATGTATGTGTGGACAGTTACTCAAAAAAGAAAAAGAAGTTCTTTACCAGTAACCAGGTTCTTCAAGATGTATTGCTCACATACACAATTGAATCAAGCTCTCCTTCCCCTTCTCCTCAGAATTGGACACAGTTAGGACTCTGTGACTGAGAGAGAACTGAGGAGTAGTAAGTACTAGGCCTGTGAAAGGAGGGAAGTATTCGATTCGGATTTGGCCGATTCAGTGGACAGTGATTCGATTTGAAGATTCGAATCACTGTCCTGAATCGATTTGGCTGAATTGGCTTCGGAAGATTCAGTGCTGATTCAGAGAGGTTCGGTGATTTAGATCAGCCGGGGAGAGGCAGGCACAGCTGGGCGGCTGTGCCTGCTTCTCCCCAGGCAGGAGGAGTCGCAGGAGAAGCCCCCATGGCTGCCCTGCCCAGCCCTATCCCCAGCCTGGCCCCAGCCTAGTCCTGGCACTTTAAAAAACAAAAAACGCAATCATTGGCTGCAGCAGCAGTGATCAGGGCCTCTGGGCACTCGTGGCAGAGCCCCCCCGCACCACACGGAGTGTGGGGAGTGGGGGGACAGTGGGGATTGTTGGTGCAGCGCGGCTCGGCAAGGCACTCTGTGCTGTCTGGGAGCTGGGACTGCTGGGCTAAGCACTGCTGGGCTCCAGCTGACACATGGAGCCGCCCCAGCTCCCAGACAGTGTATGGCACCCTGCCAAGCTACGCTGCACCCACGCCATGTGGCAGCTGCTGTGCAGGTGGCAAGTGGGAGGGGGCAATCCCCACTGCCCCCCACAGCCCCACACTGTTGGGGTTCTGCCACAAGCCCCCAGAGGCCTTGATTGCTGCTTCAAGAGCCAATGAGTGTGGGGCTCTTTTTTTTTTTTTTTTTTTTTTTTTTAAGTGCCAGGAAGATGGGGCCGGGCAGGGGATGGGTCTGAGCAGGGCAGCCGTGGGAGCTTCTCCTGTGGCTTCTCCAGCTGCGTCTGCCTCTGCTCCGGCAGGGGGAGCTGTGGGGGCTCTGCCCTGCTGCTGCTTGCCCAGCTGGCACAGCAGGGGGCACAGTGCAGGCACAGCTCACTCTGGGCAGCAGCAGGGCACAGCCTCCACTCCCAGCGCTGCTGCACCCGCATCAGCACTAGGAGCAGGGGCTCTGCTTGCCAGCTGGTACAGAGAGTGCGGGATGCGGGTGAGGCAGCACTGGGAATAGGGGCTATGCCCTGCTGCTGCTTGTTCCCTTCCGCCTGGAGTGAGCCCCGCCTGCATCCCCCACCCCTTCTCCACCCCAGCTGGGCAAGTGGCAGCAGGGCAGAGCACCCACTCCCAGCACTGCCTCACCTACATCCCACACCCTCCCCCAACCTCAACAGACTTACCAGCTGGAGGCAGCTGTGTCAGCTACCTATTTACTCTATGGCTGAATCTCCAAAGCGGACGAATCTTTTCTGAAGCTTTTCCGAATTGATTTGAATGCTTCAAATCAATTCAGAGCTTTTAATTGGTCTCCCAATTTGATTCAGAGATTTAGTCCCCAAATCGGGCCATATCTCCTCCAAATCAAATCAGCTACTGAAGCTTTTCACGGCCCTAGTAAGTACCACACTTTATCCATTTGACATGGGCCAAAAGCAGATACGTAGCCAGGGCAAATTCTACATATACTGTTATGGCAAAAAGATTTCTGCGGAAAGTTTCAGGATGCAAGACACCCACTAGTAAAAAAATGTGAGTGTGGGTAATGAATTTTGAAGAACTTCAGTTACTGGTAGGTAACATCCTTTTCTCTGCCTGGAAGATTTGTCAGTTAAACGAGAAAGACTAAACAAAGACCAGATATGTACAACATTAATTGATGGTACATTGCCATGTGAACCTGATTCTTCATCTGTATCTAGCATCCCTAAATAAGATAGCATCATCCCTGAGGACTAAAGCCACAGTGCAAAGCTCTTTAATGCTGAAAGGAACTAATTATAGATATATCTTTAGAATTATTTTAACCGTATCCTGGTTTACTTAATTTATTGTTATTAGCTCTGTCCAGTCTTTCACTGAAGTTCACTTGGCAACTGCATCAGATTTGTATATATTTTGGGGGATTTTCTTTTCTTAAATCCTTTAGAGACTTCACAGGGAAGGATGTGGTCTGATAAAACGTTAGCTACATGCTCCCTCTCATTACATTAGGATTTTCCAGAGGAGACTGTTCTTCAGGTGCTGGACAGGAAGTAGTCCTTTGTTTCAATCCCAGATTCATGAGTCCACCCAAAAATTCTTCATGGTGTAGTAATTTAGAAGAAATAGCCTAAAAATTCCCTTTATTTAAAATGAAGGCAGGGTGGGACCTTAAAGACAGACTCTTCAGAAAAGTGCCACCCTGCCCTACCTTCTGCCTAACTTCAGACTAACATGGCTAGCTAGCTCTCTTTATTTAAAAGGTTATGGTATCCAAAGGGTTCATTTTGTATCCTATTCTCCTGCTTTGCCACCCTGTAAGTATAAAAAGCTTTAACACCGTGCATTGTCTTGCCTAAGATTTAGGTATTTGTATCTTTAAGTGGAATTTATAAAACTTAGTTGCGTGTTTTGCATCTTCATACTTTGAAGGGACACACCCAAGTGCCTTTTAGTTGAGATGCATAGGCCAACTAATAATGTGGTAATTGGGGGTGGTGGGTTGGCATCTCATTTCTCTCCTGGAAGTAGATAACATTTATGTTGCTCCCTGAAGCCCCAAGGTAGGCATTTCTGTTAATGGGGAGTTTATAATCTAAAAGCTTGCCCAGACTTAATCACCTAAAACCAGATTTTATTGAATCACAGCTGGGATGCTGTGTATACATTTTATCCAATAACTGTGCTTCTGCATCTTGCATTGCAGTCTCAGGCCAAAACCAGGCTCTCTCCATCCTAGGGGAATGCCTTTTTCGCTGGGCTACAGATTCCAGTTCCTTCTTTGCTCTTCATGTCCTATGAATCTTTTACTTTTGATGGCCCAGTGGGTCAGTCAGTAAGTGGTGAACAGTGCTTTCTGCCCTGTTTAGCCTCATGGTATGACTCTTCTGAGAAAATAATTTTTATAGATAAGTGTTGCCATTTTGTTTCTGGTAGAAATAATGGGCAAAATTCATTATAATGAGATATCAGGTAAGATATTTTTTGCTTTTCCAAAACTTCATTGATCCTTGTTTCTGTATTCCAGTACCTTAAGATATCATTCTAGGAGGAGACTTTTAAAGGCACAAAGAGCAATTTAGGTGCCTGACTTCTATGGAGTCTCTGAGCACTTACCTCTCGTTTTTGCTGTTGGAAGATCTTTCCACCTCCTTGCAATGATCTAAATTGACTGTATCCATAGATAAAATCAGTTTGTTTTTGTTTTTTTTTATTTGGCAGGTGCCGTTTTTTGGTCCTCTGTTTGATGGAGCAATAGTGACTGCAAAACTACTGCCAAGCCTTATATGTGCCACATGCATCAATGCCAGCAGAGCTGTGAAATCTCTCATACCACTCTACCAGAGCTTGTATCCTTTTCCTGTAGTGATGTGATGTTATTCCTATGTATAGCTCCAGATTACAAATATTCTTCTGTTAGAGGTAAGCAAAAATGACAAGTCCTCACTTTGGCTTTATATTAAGGGCTGTGTGCATTGGGAAGAAGTCAAAACTTTTTTCATATAAAGAATTCTTTTAGCTGAGTTTTGAAAAATCATTTAACTCTAACACTACAAGAGCATTCTCACAATTTTGAAGCCTTCTGTTAAATGCCAAGTTGGATACAGTAGTGCTTTGAACTTCAAGGGATGGTTATTTTCAAATTTCCATAATGAAAAAAAGAATCTCTTTACATTGGCCTGCAATTTGTAATATGGAGACTATTTCTACTCCTGTACCTTATTCACACATTGGGACCCATTGGGACTCTCCATATTAGTAAGACACAGGTCTATGGTGGTTGATGTTTATCACCAGTCCTTATCTCCATTTTCATTTTATCCACATTATCTAAAAAATGTTAGTACGGTAGTTATAGGTAACTAAAAAACATGCTTCTACATTACAGAATTGTGTAGGATAGACTGTAATTCTTACATGGTATGCAGGCTAATGGCATAATATCACTCATTCAACATTCTACATTACTTTTTTCTTAATGCCACCAGTGTTAGTGTGCTTGGTTACATACATATTTACTCAAATGTAGGATGAAGTATTTTCCCCCAGTCAGAATCTTACATTCACATACAACAGAACTGCATTAAATTCAGTGTCTATTATTAAACTGCTGCCAAAAGCAGCATGTGTTCAGGAATGGAAACCAACTATGAAGATGATTCATTGCAGTCAACACTGAGCATGACTATAAACACATGGCCCATGATGGGCAAACATACTGATGGGAGCCTACCACAAGGATAAGTTAGTGCAGCCCATTTGAATAAGATACATGTTCATTGTGCACAGTCTCCCTCAGCACCAACTCTTTCAAGTCATGGTGAACTATTACATTAAATACATTTTGATTTCCTCTTCACTCCCACAGCTGAGCTATTCCTTTCTTACCCATTTCCACTGATTCCTGTTTTTTCACAAGCCTTAAATGTTTGGCAAACATCACCAAATGGGGCCCCAAATAATTTACCCATAATCCCTCTATTGAGCCCTCTGTCATCCTGTCACATATGATTAGTGTGGCCCTGCCTTTCTTGAGGTAGAGCTGGACCAGATTGCCTTATCTGCATATAAATGTTTGCAGAATCCCAGGACTCATGACAAGAACACCCGGTTCTGGTCATGAGCAGGGGGCTAATTAGCACATGGTCCTTTGTGGGGGGTATCTGGAGAATGCACATATACTGAACAATAATGAGATATGGGATCACCATGGCTTGAAATGTTGTTGACTCTGCTGAGGACCAGCCCAGTGAACTCTAGGGTAAATTACAAGCGGGGAATCCTGGTTTTCTTCAGTAAAAAAAAAATAAATCCAAAATTTTATGATTTAAAAAAAAATATATATATATATATATATATAAAAATAATAATCTGGTTCATCCAATATTGATGCATTTTACATTTCTTGAAACTGCTGCAAGTTTTAGCACAGGTAGTCCATAAACACACACTTAGGCAGCACTTTTCTACCAACTTATATAGCGTACAAACTGCATGATACTAGTCCAAAGCCAAAAGGCTCATGATCAGGGATCCTGGTTGTCTCTGCTAAAAATACATGCAAAATTTTCTGATGTAAAAAAAACCCTTTTTCTGTGATTAAAACCAATATATATATATCAATGTGTGTGTGTGTGTGTGTGTGTGTGTGTGTGTGTAGTAACATTTCTGTTTTAATCACAGAAGAATGTAGATTTTCAGGGTTTTGTATCAGAACATTTTGGATTTATATATGTGTATATATATATATAGAGAGAGAGTGCCATTGTTGTTTTAATCACAGAAAAGTGTTTTTTTTTTAATCAGAAAATTTTGCATGTGTTTTTATCAGAGAAAACCAGGATCCTGATCATGAGCCTTTTGGCTTTGAACTAATATCATGCATAGTTTGTACTCCATATAAGTGGGTACAAAAGTGCTGCCTAAGAGTGTGTTTATGGACTACCTGTGCTAAAACTTGCAGCAGTTTCAAGAAATGTAAAATGCATCAATATTGGATGAGCCAGATTACTACAGACACACTTGTTTCAAAGTCAGTGTTTGCCCCTCACTTCCATGTGTTCAGAGGGAGCAAGGTCTAACAATAAGTTGAGAGAGAAGGGGCTGCAGGGGAAGAAGTTAGGAGCAGAGAGCAAGGGGACCACCTGACTCCTCCAGGTTTATTTTCCCTGCTGTAGCAGTTGGAGGGGGACAAATTCAAGGCAGACCTCATAGATTTTGTAGACATTAGGGCTGGAAGGGACCTCATAAGATCAGCGGGTCCACCCCTCTGCCCAAAGGGCAGGAAGTCAGCTGGGGTCAGATGACCCCAATAGATAATCATCCAAATGCTTCTTGAACATATCCAGAGTAGGTGCTTGCACCACTTCTGGAGAGAGTCTGTTCAGGCTCTGGAGACCCGAATAATAAAGAAGTTTTTCCTTATGTCCAGTCTAAAACAGTCTTCAAGCAGTTTCTGACCATTGGACCGTGTCTTCCCTTGGGGTGCCCTGGTGAACAGACATTCTCCCAGTTCCTGGTGTACACCCCTGATATACTTATAGGCTGCCCCCAAGTCTCCCCTAAGCTTATGCTTTTCCAGGCTGAAGATTCCTATACGCCTCAGCCTCTCCTCATAAAGCCTGCTCTCTTGACCTCTGATCATGTGTGTGGCTCTCTTCTGGACTCTCTCAAGCTTTTCCACATCCTTTCTAAAGTGTGGAGCCCAGAACTGGATGCAGTGCTCCAGCTGTGGCCTCACTAAGGCTGAATATAGCTGGAGGATGACATCTTGGGTCTCGCTTGAGATGCATTGGTAGATGCAAGCCAGAGTTGTATTTGCTTTGCTGGCTGCAGCATCGCATTGGTGGCTCATATTCATCTTGTGGTCAATTGCGACCCCCAAGTCTCTTTCAATTGTGGTGCTAGTGAGTGTAGCACTGCCCAGCCTATAGGTATGATGTGGGTTCTTTCTCCCAAGGTGAAGTACCTTGCATTTCTCTACATTGAAATTCATCAGGTTCTGATCCACCCACTTTGCAAGCCTGTCCAAGTAGCCCTGAATCCCCAGCCTATCCTCTAGTGTAACCACACTTCTCCATAATTTGGAGTCATCTGCAAACTTAGCCAGTCTGCTTCTAACACCTGAGTCCAGGTCGTTTATGAATATATTAAAGAGTACTGGTCCGAGTATTGAACTCTGAGGGATGCCATTGGTCACTATGCACCATGTTGACTCGGTTCCATCGACTGTCACTCCCTGGGTCTAATCACAGAGCCAGTTCCTCAGCCATTGGATTGTAAGTTTTTTGAGGCCACTGGTCCCCAATTTTATCATGAGGACATCATGGGAGAGCAAATCAAGGGCTTTTTTGAAATCCAAGTAAATGACATCATCTTCTCCTCCCCTGTCCAGGTGATATGTCACTTGGTCATAGAAAGAGATGAGGTTGGTCAGGCACAACCTACCTGTAATGAAGCCGTGTTGGCTGTCTCTCAGAATTATACCTTCTGTTAGCCTGATGGATGCTTCAATAATTTTTTCCATGATCTTTCCAGGGATTGAGTTCAAACCGATTGGCCTGTAGTTGTCCAGATCTTCCTTCCTTCCTTTCTTGAAGGCACCACATTGGCCCTCTTCCAATCTTCAGGAACCTATCCGGAGCACCATGAGTTCTCAAATATCCTTGCTATTGCCAAATGACCCCAGAAGATAATCATCCAAATGCTTCTTGAACGTGTCCAGAGTAGGTGCTTGCGCCACTTCTGGGGGGAGTCTATTCCAGAATCTGGAGACTCAGACAGTAAAGAAGTTTTTCCTTATGTCCTTATTTCCTTATAAATTTCCCATATATAGAATCTAATCTTGGGGGGAGGTCATCTTATATTTGAGTAAATATGGTATATTGCTAATAGTCCCATATATTTCTGGATTGGCGTCCTTCTTGATTTGGTTTATTTTGAAGGCTTTTAATTTATTTTAAATGATGTAAGGCAAGCTCCTTGAATTTTATAAGTGGTTAAAATTGAATATTTAATCTTTGTGATTAAAGAAAGATTGTTTGATGGTTTGAGAGCTTATCAGATGACTGTTTTTGGGGGGGTTTTCTTGCTATTATGGCTTTGTAAGAAATATTTTTCGTAAGAAGGGCAGAATGAGTTTTGTGGAGGGCCTCCAAAATGTAGACTAGCTAGCTTTGGAATCAAAGAAATTGAATAATTTTTTTATTAACCTTACATTCTCCCTTTTCAGTTTAGAACATAAAAAGCAAATAGCCATTGCAAAGCAGTTTCACATAAAACACTAATCTCAATATTATAGCAGAATATAATAGCAAACTCCAAGCTCACTAGCTTTTTCACTGTTGTTTCATGAGTGGGAAATCCAGCTTAAGTACTCCTATCAAAGTAATTCTTTCTGTCTGTAACCTTGACTGGATAAGCAGATGTTTTAAGCTGTACATAACAATAAAACAATCAGTGTAGCATTGCTGGTAACCTGAATATAAGTAATAGAGTTTGCAGGAGTGAAAAAGATGCTATGAGCTCTTAGAGAAAAGAGATTTTTAATGCAGTTGGAAAACAATAGGTTTGTTTCAGCACAATGTTCATTCTTGCCCGCCTGTATTTTCCTATAACAACTTACTCAGCAGACTAAGTAGGTTCTGTCAAGTTCAGCCTTCATCTAGTGGTCACTGCTCTTTCTCAGTGGTGAGGGCTAGCTCAACTACTATCTGCTTATATTTTCCCTAGTGGGCAATCATTGGGCATATTTTGGTGTCTAGACTGTTGAAAACTAGAAGTTTGCCACTTGCTATGGTTACAATTCCCAAGTTAACCAATGATTTTAAAATCAAATTATGGCCATTGA